AAAAATATTATATAATATAAGACTTATTGAGTAATCAAATAAATTAAAAATAAAGAAATAAATTATGAAAATTCTTCGATTTCTTTTAGAAATTATTATCGATTTTTTTATCTAATTTTTATCTTATTCGATAAGAAATATTAAAGTAAAATTCCAAGATTCCAATTATAAAATATATTTTTATATATTTTTATATAATTATATTTATATTTATATTTTTTTCTATAAAAACTTAGAAATTATTTAATTCAAAATGATAGAAAAATAGAAATCAATCAAGAATATATATTGTAAAATTAATTTGTATCTTTTATCTAAAATTTGTTAATAACATCTTCTAATTTCTAAGATATTCATGAATTATTTAGATATGGTATTCTTATTGAAATCATTCTCAGATAGGGCTTTCCGATCAGCGGTCGTATCAAATTTCAAAATGATTTTCTTGTCTTCAAAAATATGAAGCTCGGTATAAACCTAGATAATCTGGTTAGAATTCTGCAAAACCAGTATTTTCCAATTGGTTGCGATTAGGACGAAAATCGATGGTCTTTGTAATCATGACCGAGGATCTTTGGAGCAATATTGAAGGCGGTCTGTGCGGACCATACAGCCCATTCAGACTCCGCCACCAGACGACTATATTGACACAACTCGGAGTTGCAGCGACAGCAGTCACTGTACAAGTCGATTGTCGCCCCACCCCGTAGCAGCGGCATGACAAATTGGATGCTACCCAAACAGAGCTCCCAGCAGTCCGACACCACCTTCGAGGGCTTCTCCAGCCTGAGCGTTGGCGACCCCTCCAGAAAGTCTCCGGCGAAGCGTCGAAGCTCCCGAAACAAGGCTGCCACGAGGGCGCCGACAACCAAACCACCTGTCAGTAATGACTTGCAGGAGGCTCTTGGAAAAAAAATTCTGACTGGCCTGCCAGCATGCCCAAGGGCCCAAGCATGTCTGCAAGCGGCCCACTCATTGGCCGAGGCCTCTCTCGCAGTGAACATACAGAGACTTGCGACCTCAACCGGCAGCCCGCCTCGGTGGGAAGCGCTGTCTGAAGATGCGACCAAGTTGGCTGTTCATGTTCCTTCGCACAAGCACTCGCTTGTTGTTTAGCGCCTTGCACGCCTTTTCCGTCACTGTGAAATTATCTCAGTGGGACACGGATGGATGTCATCGAAAGAGAATGGCCGATCGAGCGAGAACCTGGCATTCCACCGAAGGCAAGGTGTCACCCCTCCCCCCTGAGGCATCCTGAGACTTGCACTGCTGCGAAGAGCTCAGCACCGGCCGCTGCGAAAAGCCTGAGAATTTGTCAATATGTTCGAACGCTTTTAAATCGGTTGAAATGACGTCATTACGCAGAATACCTGTTAAGACCCCAGGCCACCCATGCTGAGGTGTCGATGGAGGAGTTGCAACAGCTCTGGGTATATCCTCGGCGTCCCATTCTGACATCAGCGTCCGCTCTTCTGGCCAGAAACCCTTTGTCACCATCCTTTGCATAATAGCATCCGGAGCCGCAAGTCTGAGGTGAGTACGGGCGAGGGTTTCTGCGAAGCACATCACAGAAAGCTGTCCTGGATAGAGATGCAGCTCTGTGGAGATGCATGGTAGCGTGCAACCGATCAAACTTTGTCAAACTACTCCTTGCTTGCAAAGTTTCGTCATTGCACCTCCAGGTGCTGCATACATGGAGGCTGCATCCGAAGATGTGTCGTCATCTTCACAACCACCTTGAGACGAGTGACACCGGCGGAGCTCCAAAACAAATCGATAGTTAAGTTGTCCAAGCTGCTGAACATGAGAACGTCGCCTCTACAAAGGAACCTTTCAGCTGATTGCTGGAATTCATAACACTTTAATGCTTAACAACAGTTCTAGGCTCATAGCGGATTCACAGCTTCACGCCACATGCCCCGTCGTGGATCCCAAGTGAACGGAAGATCCAAGCCACTGCCACTGTGGCCTTGGATGCTCAGCTCAACAGGTTCACTTAGAAACAGCAGCTCCTGTTAAGTTTGTGGCAGCAGTCCATCACGCTCGTCAGCCTGCACGACATCAACGAAATCCAAGAAGTACTTCTTCCAAAAGACGACTCTGCCGCAATCAGGCCTGACTCCTTCTGGCAGGGGTTTGACGATGTAGTCACTGACTTCGTCGTCGGTCCTTGTCAATGCCGGAGAGATGTCTGACTGCTGCCAATTGCAACCCGCTCCCCGGGATCAGCTTCACCTTCCCAAGTCTTCCCGTCACTGAAAAACATACATAGTTGGACACCTATCATTCGGCAACTTGGCAAGGCCTTTCCTGCATCGATGTGGACCACCGCTTTCAGATATTGAGGCTTAAGTTTGTACTCCCGATTTAGGTTCTTCGGGGTGCTCCTTTTACGGTAAGGTTTTGCTGCCCGTGACTCCTTGTTGGATTCAGGGATTTCACCAACTCCCTTCTTTGCTGGCAAAGCCAATAAGCTTCCGCAGGTACCATTCTTTCCTCCTCTTTGGTGTGGCACACCCTTTTTCTTGTGGCATCTACGGCTTGCAACTAAACTCATGGTTTTCCACTCCAAATTCTTGCTACTCACAGTTTTCGCGCTGCCCCCCCGCTCTTTCTAGGACTTCAGGGTTTTCGCTCTTCGCGCTCGAAGATTCGAATGTGTTGGCAAGCTGTTCGCGGCGGTTGAGCGTTTCCCACTGCCGATTTAGGATTTGAAGCATATTGAATTGGTTCAAACTGATAAACCTTTAGCGGCACTCCGAACACCGCCGGCCTGTCTTAGGCCCGTTTTGCTTTTCGAGCTTAAAGCTTTGGAATATTCACAGTTTGGACTGCACGATTTCCCAGCTCGAGCCAAGATCCTTCCCCGAGCCCTTAACTTCTTGGCTGTAGCTGAACAAGCATGCGTGTACGTAATGCTTGGCACGAAATAGAGTACGTGCGGGCATCAGCAACATGCAAGGCCCTGTCCAGGAAGAAGCCAAAAACACGCAAGAAAGAGAACGGACGAGTGCCCTTCAATGTTCTAGGCAGAAAAGGCACAGACTGACTAACCCAAAGCTCAACCATGTCTGTCCAAGAAGCATCATTCCAGCCTGGGCTGGGACACGAGCCGACACCGAAACTTAGCACTCCAATACCATGCAGTGCCATGCAGACAAGGCACATGCTCGAAATCGACGGGAAGGATCGTTTCGTTCATGCCATCCTCAAGCTCTGCTCTGACTTCCACTTCGACGCTGAGGCTGCCGCTGTCCTCCTCAAAGCCTTGCGGATCTTCTTTCTGGGCCTGGAACGCAGCAACAGAGAGCTCCCGGACAGCGCCCTGCTTGCGAGTGAGCTTCGAACCCCGTGGCCCGAGAAGCTGAAGAACAGCACGTCCCCTCAAGGCAGAACGAGAAACTCATGTCTCATGACATCGGCATGGGCTGGTGTGTGATTCTCAATCAAGTGGTAGGCTTGCACAGTCGACGGCCTGGCATGGCATCCTCTGCAAGCCAACGGAGGTGTTGAGTGATGTTGTGGCGCCTCGGCACGAAAATGTCTGACTGTCTAGCCCCGCTGCTTCAGAACATGACCGATGCCAAGGTCCATGACGTGGGCATTCCCCCACCGCGGCCATCGTCGGTAAGTGTTCTGATGTTGTGAGCCTTGACTAGAAGCGAGCTCACTTCCTGAGATCACGACCTGTATTCTAGCCCGCCTGCCAGCCGTAGGTCTCTGTCAGGAGGCGGAACAAGTTGTGGACATCATTGATGCAACCTCGCCTCAGTGCCCGCTCAGTGCCCAAGGCCGACGGCCCGGCCAAAGCCGAAGGCACCCGAAGGCCCACAGGAGCGCTTTGTTCCAAGGTGCAGCTCGGCTCGTGTGCCAAAGTAGTTCACTCCGATCAACAAGGCTTTCTGACGGCCTACGGGTCCGTGCAAAGCAAACGGCTGTCGGCGGATTCTTTGTGCTGCGGCCTGAGGGTCGAGGAGGTGCTCCTCACAGGGTCACAGAGAGCAATGAAAACCGTCACATTCGCTGCGAACTTCAAGGTCTTGTGGCCGTGACAAGAGCAGTAGTCCTCCACCTGTGAATTTCATTGGGCTGCTTGGAGAACCTCCGCCGTGTGGCATCGCAGCCTTAAGCAGTTCTGCATGCAGCAGCCTCCGTCGTTTTGGAGCACACTTGGCCATGCCGAGCCTGGTTGGTGGTGCCGCAATGCGGACACCTCGCTTGCACGGTGGCACCGGGCGCAGTGCCTTGCAAGTATCACGGAATGCTAAGCAAGACATGTGCAAACGGACGTCATTTGCGAAGCGTGCAAAATTGAAGACTGCCCCCCAAAGCTACAGGCCTGGCGGCACTGCAACACCGTAGACATTGCCACAGTTGCCACACCTGCAAATGACAACGAAATACAAGAACACTCGTCCTTGCATCGAGTTGGCCTGATCTGAAGATCACCGGAGCCGGGCTTCTGAGGCAAACACTCGCACACTCACGCAAGGCCTTTGTAAAGTCGAAGAAAGCTCAACAAAAACGACCCGAGGCCTTGCCATCATCCTTCCCTGGGCGATACTCCTGCAGGCAGTTCGTGCTTTGTGTCGATCGCATCTGTGCTTGCTGTCCCGGCACAACCGTAACAAACTCCGAATGCACTGTGTCGGAACAACCTTCGCCTTGCAAAGGAGTGCTTTATCAATCGAGTTTATGAACATGGGAGCCGACGGTAACCAGTGTCTCCAGTGAGATACTCTTCCAACATAATTGAGCAAACATCGGAAATTAGGGAGGATAGATCGCCTGGATGCCGCGACAAAGTGTGGCCGTGTGTCTGCATCAGCAAACAAGCAAGAAAGGAAGCAGGCAGCTTACACTAGGAAGCCAGCTCGTTAGTCAGCCAGCGAGCGGGTGAGTAAGCAAGCAGGGGAGCAGGCTTGCGAGCGAGCAGCCAAACAAGCAAGCAAGAAAAGCGAGCAAAGCAAGCGAAGCAAGACAGCAAGCGGGTAAGGCAAGCGAAGGGGAACGAAGGGAGGCCTGTGCCGTTTTGAATCTAAGTATGAATGGAGCACCAAAGCAACCAGAAGCGAGCGCAAATCAGCGCCAGCACATAAGGAAGGCAAGAACTGAAAAAAGAGCGTCACGACGGGGCTGTGGGTTGGGGAAACTGTGAGTACCCACAATCTGCACTTGGTGCACCTTTTTCCGGCAGAGCAAGCGAAGCCTCCTGTTCGACAGGCCGAAATCGATGTTCGCGACAGCACTAGAGCGAGGAACATGGCAACTATTCGCCTACCCTTTGCCTGCATAGAACCACAGACCCAACATGCCCGGGCAGTCATGCGGCTTGCCACCCCCGGACCACGAGTCGATGGCCGCTCCTGTCCCAAGGCTTCTGATGGATGCTTAGCGCGACAGTTCGATTATCCAATTTTGGAGCCGGTGCCTGGGAAGGTGCAGACAGAACAGACAATCGAATCTGCCGGTCGCAAAGCCTGCACCGGATGGCGCCATGGATGGACGAATCCGACCTGGCAATGGTAATGCTTCGACAAAGGAATGGTGCGGGAACACAGCGAGCACCAAGCCACATGAAAGCGACGCTCCCTTCGTCAACATCAGCCAACAGAGCTGTAGCAAATCCTGCAACTTCTTGCCGCAACCGGCACGCCCTTCACACAAACATGCTTCGGGCGCCGGCAGATCCAATTGACGGACAAGGCAAACGAGAACTGTGACTGTTCCCAGCACCCCACCCCTCCCCCCTCACAGCCCAAAACCCCGATGAGTATGGACAAATCCAGCTGCCGGTCCCTAGATTTCTACAGTATCGACAGATTCATGTTTGAGTCTGTGGATTACTTGAGATTTGCGAAATTGATCGGCATTTGCCGGCCTAGATATCTTAAAACATCTCCCATCTCTTGTCAGACTGTCTAAAATTGTTCCAACACTCCTGAGAACTAAAATTCGGTACAGAAACTCAAGAGTTGGAACGGCTCGTGACGCTTATCCAGAATTGTATAGGCGTCTTCAGATTCCTGAAGGTCTGTGGATTTCTCCAGAGTTTTCTAAAGTCAGCAGCAATGATTCGAGTCATACAGATTCCTTGTGCCTTTCAAACTGTTTGATTTCGTCGCGAAGTCTTCAACTGTATTTAACTTTCTGTCACAAAGATCACAGATGCTATGCAAGTCTGGATATATGAGACTTGTTACATGTACTCAGATGTCCTGAGATATGGTTGTGCCTCTAGAATTCTCTAGACGTGCGGAGATCTTGACTTGAGACTTCTTCAGATTTGTCTACATGTCTACAGCTTTCTCGATGTGGCCCAACGCTTTTTACACGTCTGCGGATGTCTATTCTGCTCTCAGGACTTCTCCGACGTGGCTTTGGCTTCTGACGCCCTCTACGGTTCCTAGAGATGTCTGTAGTTCCTGGTCGATTCTCCAGATTCCGAGAAATCGCAGACCGGACTTTCCTCAATTTCGTTAACGGCTCCTCTGACAAGATCGACAAGCTCCTTCCGTCCGGCGGCTCGCAGACCAGGTTGCAGTCGTGTTTGAAATTTCCGTGTTTCTGTGAACTGCAAATCCAGTGAAAAATCCGCCACAGGCGAAGGCTGAGCATTGTCTCATCTTGGTTATCTGAACTCTCTGATGTTTGACCGATGTAGGTCTGTGAGTCTTCGGAGTTGGTTGTCTGTTCTGGGTTGCTTTCCGGCATCGTTTTCACTCGATATGCGAGCCAGGAACGGTGACTTGCGTCAGTCTGTTAGGTGACATAGGTGACCAATTACACAGGCGAAACCGGGTCGGATCGACCGGCATGCGCTGCTTCCTCCGTCTGCTCCGCATTTGTAAAGAACTTGTTGAAGCCGCGCCTGAGGAGCAGAATTCCAGCTCTCAATGCGCTCCGGGTTCCGGACAAAAGCGCCCAGGCCCCAGCTCCAGCAGGTAGTCCAAGACTTGACCCGCCGGGCCATCCGCAAATCTTCCGGCTTTGCCTGCCTTTCCCAATGCGCTGTGAAAAATTGTGCCAAAACAATCGGCTCGTCGACTGCCAGCTTGCAAGTTATCACCAAAACTGCGACCTGGGCATCCACGCGACTCCCTATCTCTCAATCTCAGCGTAATCCAAACGTGCACATGTCTCTGATATAGATATGCTATCTGCCGCCTTTTCACAAGCAACCGCCGCAATGACCGCCTCCCTGCCAAGCTGGTTGGCAGCTTCGACACAAACCGTGATGTCAGTACTGTGCAGAAACAAGACGACAAGTCCACAAGCACCCTTCATTCGCAGCACCTCCAAATGCCCTTCAGCATGCCATCAGACCCCACCGTGGGTGTCTCCTTCTTGCACAGATCCCGCCATGTGCGACCTGAGCTTAGATTTTCGAGTAAAGCAATGTACGGAAATCTCTGCCTCATAACAGTTCACTGCGGAGACTGCAGACAGAGGATGCGGCGAGAACCTGTAGCTAGCTCATCCATGAAGTTCGCCATGGCTACTGTACCACTGTGATCACTTACTCGTGGGTTCGGTGAATTCTACACATCACACACATGGTCTTGTTCAGGCTGCGTCCTCTCTGACTTCAGCCTGGTTCATGATCGGATCGTAGGGTCATAGAACCATCAGAGGCATGTATGGTCTCAGATGCAAGCTCAAGTCAATAGTGCATCCTTACGTAGGAGCAGCTAAAACTGCAGAGCTGACCGTGTCACGGAAATCTGGTGCATCAAACCGTTGGTTCTCCGTGCCAAGTCTTCTGCACGCAACTGACATGTCCCAGTCATAGTCATCAATCCATCTTTGTCCTTCGCTACAGCGTTCGATTGCTCTTCCCGGCAGGAACGCTCGGCGGCTACTCAGCAGGCTGGCCCAAGAAACCCATGGCTTGCCTTAGATGGCATGGAAGTCTCCTCAAGTCCATCACAGGAGGAGCAGGCCCGTTCCCCAAACGACGCATCTATTCCATCATCAGCCACTGAAACCGACCATCTGCAGACAAGCAAAGTCTCATTGAGAGCACGACATGCTGGCCTTCTTTTGCGCCTCCCACCAAACCTGGCAGCAGTTGCTTAATGGCACCTCGTCAAAAATTACCGCTGCACGTTATCTTTGTAAGCCCTTCAGCTGCAAAGTATCAACGGGCTTCTTTGCTTCACTCAGAGCTGGTGCGACCAGCCGGCAACTATAGTGCTAAAGCAAAGGCCACACGAGCGGTCCAGCTGCCGGACACCTCCGCGGCCTCTTCTGGTTCTGCAGACAGCACTTCACCCCACCTGCACACAACCCTGCTGCGCAGACGCAGGTGGGCGGCTTAACGTTTCTTGCTGCCCTCATCTCATGTCATCCAGGCCTTTTCGGGCCCAGTGCTTCGTGCATGTCTGAGCAAAGCTCGCAGACCATCGAGACATTGGAGACATAGTCCTGGTTTGGCAGAGCTCTGTTTCTGGGAAACTCTCTTTGCTCCGGGTGTTAAACAACCACCATGGTCACAATGCCGTTGCGCTGTCCGTTCCGCCGAGTTCTGTCGGAAAGAAGTGCTTCCTTGGTATGAGCAGCTTGAGAGCATATGGCTGTTTGACCGTGGTGACCTGCGGTAGACATCCCAACAACACGACAAGCGACGCCCGCAGCTTGTGGGTGCTGCCACAGTACATGCACCGTCCACCGCTTTTCTCCTTGCAACATCACATCTTGATTCATGGCCTCGTCAAGGTCAGCATGCAAGAGGCTTTAGCTAGCTGTCCTCGGCGCCCTTCTTTGCGGTCTTCGACCCGATAAAGCCTAGCAGGTCCACGATTCGCAGAATGCGATGAGGCTGCAAAGGTACAAGAAGAAAGACTGCAGCACAAGTTGTCGCTAACAAATCGACTGGTGCCTGGAGGCTTCTTCCGATCTTTCTTCCTGGCAGCATGTAATCATTAACAAATCTTGATCAGAACGATCCTCTCGCACCAACCTTTTCGTCTCTTCGTGAAGCTTAACCACACGACCATGCATCAGCAGGCAGCAGGATACCGATGACATGCTGCTGCAAACTGTGCCGGCCGAACAAGCCAACTGGATTTACCTTGCTTGCTTCCTTCACGACTCCAGATGGGACAAACCTGCCGCGAAGCAGTGGTGCTCGACGACACATCGAGATGCCCACTCCGCACATGAACGCACATGCGCACCACGGAACAATGGTGGCTCAGCAGCATCTGAGACCCTACATGCCCGGGGTGCCAAGTGACTTTCTGAACGCCCTCCACTCGCCAAGCTGGAGATGCGTATTCCGTGGGCCTCGCAAAACCATTGAAATCGCTAGAGCAACCATAGCACAGCCTCGCTTTACTGAGGCCCGCGGCTTCTGGTTGGCAAAGGTGGCTTTGAGCTTGAGACTTAAGTTCCAAGACAGCTCCTTGTGACAAGCTCAGGCAAGTATGCTGGAAGAAGGAAGTGGTTCCTGCCTGTAGTCCGGAGCCAGCAATTTGAGCAACCAACTCTTGTCGGCTTTCTTGACCTCCGTGCGATGAGCCGTCTCAAGCTTTTTGTGAGAAGTGGCTGTGTGTGCACCGTTCCACCACTGCTCGAAGTGCAGTGCGGCCACTGCGGGACGCAAGCCAGGCATGGCCTTGTAAGCTCGCACACAGTGTGCTCTCGCTAAAGGCAGGCAAAGCGAAAAAAATCCAAAGACCACCACCATGGACCAGGACAGTGCCACGGCATCGGCCAAGGCTGCCATTCCTGCCGCACATGCCACATATTCCCTAAATCTTTGGTTTTTGCATGGTAGTGCACCTGAAACCTCATAACTAAGCAGGATGGTATCCAGCCTTTTCCGCCCAATTCAGCTAAGATTGCCTGGCCAGTGGCAGAGAGAAACTTCCAAGCTGAACGGGCAGAGACACAATATTCCGTCGAACGAAGTGCTGCTGTGCCTCTTTAGCTCTAGCAAGCTCAGACAAGGATGGAGGTTTTCCATCGATCGCATCGAGCAAAACCGCCAGACCTGGCTAGTAGAGATTCTGCGGAGTCCAAGAGTCCAAGACCGTATCAAGTCAGCGGCCACCCAAAGCGCCCCGAAGGGATGAGGCCGTTCGGGCGGGAATTCCCACGACCTGCCCAGGGCTGGAGAGACTATTCAAGTTGGCCTTGGGCTAACTTTCAGAACTTTCCACAGACTCAAGATGGAAATGAAACGTGTTCGTGAAGCAACAAGTACTTGCTTGTTCCAGGGCAGAATAGCCCCAAAATCCTGTTTTGCACTCGCAGCTCGTAGCTGCTCCGCGGCTTCTGCCAGCGGTCCAAGTACTCTCTCAGCAAACGTAGACCTGACTTCCATCAGCACAACAGGAGCCATCAGCATCAAGATCATGGGTACATGGGTCCCAAACGAATATGCCGCAAGCTTGGGCCCATGATTCTTTCTCAGCTAAGCTCGTCACGCAGCTCCACGGAAAGTGACTTGTCATTCCACTGACGGTAGTCGTAAAGGAACATCCTGTGCTGTGCGAAGTAGGCTGGTTGCAAAAGACACCAGCAGGTAGCAGGAAGGCAAAGTGCTGCAAGGATATGAATGCAAAGGAGAATCCTCTTGTATTCCACCTCAAGGGGCTGGGTAGGTCGAAGTGGATGGCAGTAGAAGCCCGCATTCCTGGAGTCTGAAGCAGCTGGATCCGTTCTAGACACATGTCAGCAGTGCATCCCATCTCAAGCTGAGCCAGACACCATGCCAGTTCCAAATCTGCCAGAAGAGGCAGACGATCCAAACACCCCAGCAGAACGAGAGCCCGAGCCCGAGCCCCCGAGCCGCGAGCCTTCAATCGCGTACCAAAGCTGTCGGGATGTTCCTGCTTCGCCGACATCCCCTTGTACCACATCCTGGCCAAGACGATGGTCGGGCGACTGCCAACAAAGTCTATCAGACTATCAAGTTTTTGCCCAGCCACCTGTCGAGCGAAATGAGCATCATGCAAGTACAGTTGCACCTCAACTGCTTTGGCCCTCGCAGATACATGATGGCAAGGAGATGCAGCTTGAAGGCAAGACACCAGCTTGTAGCCAAACGGCTCCAGCTGCTCAGCAAAGGCAGCAAGTGAACCTGCAAACGCTTGCTGTGGAGACCCGAAGCTTTGGCAGTTCACGAGAAGCTAGTGTAGGTGTCAGACAATGTACCATGTGGCCCCTGAAGCTGCTTTCAGGACCAATTTCAAGCGTTGAGTCTCCTGTCGCAACGTGCTTCAACTTGCCACGGGTGCCCTGCACTCGGTCCTTGTATGGAGTGGTCGAATTCCACCGGTCGGAAAAAGATGGGCGGAGGAACGAAGGAGTTGACCTGGCAGGCAAAGGCAGGCATGGCGGAGAATGAAATCTCTTTCGCATAAGACGGTTCTTGGTTCTCCTACCCCGTCGGTCCGATAACCCGAAACAAAACAACAAGCATGAGCATGGATGCAAAACAGTTTGTTCGGCGAGTGGTGGGCGGTCAACTTGACTTTTACCAGGAACAGCTAGCTAGACTCAAGAAGCTGGTGATAGACTTGTCGTGCAGCCGCCTCGACGTGTATATGTTGAGGCCGCAAACCTCTCTCCAGCAGAGCCATGACGAAGCAGCAGTCGCAATTATCGACATCGACCTGGTGCAGAACCACCGTGCAGGGCAGTGAAGTGCTTGTGTCCATCCAAGGCCAAAACTTTCAAGAGTAAAGGCTGCGTTCGCAGATCGAAGCCTCAAGTTCAGCTTTCGCGTTTCCGTCATATCATTTGCCACACCATCACAACGGAAATGTCTGTCCAAGCTTCTATCACGATAAGCCACAACCTGCTTCAGCACCTGGACGGCATCCGGTGGATTTTGCTCAACGGAAGACGCCCTCACATCGCACATGGCAGCTCGCGGTGCCTTAAACGGATTTGTTGTATTGTCGACCACCCAAATGCCTTCCCTTTTGGCAAACACCTGCAACATCCAAGACTGCGACTCGAGATGGCCGATTGCCAACGCCTGCCTGCCGCACATGTTCAGCCTTCTCGGAATCACCTCGCCAACTGCTTGCAGAAAGTATCAAAGGCCCTAAATTCCGTGGGGTCGCATCGAATCTCGACTTCATGTCCAACGCCTTCAAAGAGAATGCCCTGAAAGCCTGCATGCAGCAAGCAGTTCGCTGGATCAACAGCCTGGCATCGAGACATAAACCAACTCTTCCACAGGTTGTCACATGTGCCTTGAAGACATCTAGATCTTGGAAGACTTCGCGGGCTGCTCCCTCAGAGGTTGTCACAACAGCATCCCACGTGGCCCAATGGGCGCAGCAATTCCGAACTGAAAATTGCCAAGTCGCATGGGCACACGAGCCATCGCCAGCACCCACGTTCACAACCCATCCTGGGGTGGAACCGAACCAAACGTATGCTGACACCTGAAAGGCATCCCTTGCCCTTTTCAACCCGAGCCTTCTGCATTCACTTGCAGAGGCGCAAGCAAGGCGAGATGCCGCCAGAGCGAATGCGTCGTGTCGCAAGGTACACCAGTGAGCTCGACATGTGTATCCCAAGAGGGGATCCAGTAGCTGCGTGTCTTGTCAAGATTGATGCCCAAGGCGAGCGCCATCACCCTGAGTTGCAAAGCCGATATGTCGAATCGAACACCCAAGCATTGACTTGAAGCCCTCTGTGAAACTGTCAAGCTTGGCTACCTTTGTCCCACAAGGAAGTGTACAACAGCCGCCGAAGCTTACCTAGCACACCTCTCAGTCTTCTCTGTCGTGTTCCTGCCTCAGGGATATGTGCTCCTCATACTTGGCTGTATGGCCGACTTGGAGGTTATGGCCGTAGCATGGGTGAGCCGCTAAGCTGGATTCGTCCACGATCGCGTTGATACCAGCCCTGGGTCTCTGGTCGGCACTGAAAGCATCTCCCTTCTGACTTTCAACTTCAACGAGCTAGAAAGTGGTGGTGTGACATCTGTTCTGGGAATCGTGATTCATGGTTTTTGTGGAGTTCTTGGTTTTCTCCCGACCTCACGTGGCTCCTCAACTCTAGCTATCGAGCTTTGCGGCTTCTTGGTTTACTGACTTAATGTTGTCTTATGACCATTGCACCCATGACAGGCCAACGACAACCTCAACACAATGACTCATAACTCATGACGTAAACCATCTCCTGCAAACCTCCTGAGCCCTAAAGGACATGGTACTGAAAACATTCAGCAATCGACGAGGGAAAAAGCTACAAGCCTAGCCGTAAACAAAACAACACTCTAAGTTCTAGATATAAACAAAACAGCAACCTACGCCCAGCGGACCCTCATACCTAAAGGGCCCTGGCACCCTGACATGCAACAAAACCACTCAAAATAAATGCACCCTTGAACCCTAGGATCCCAAATAAAACCTGACTAAAGCCTGTTTTGCCCTAAACCCCAAAGCCCCCTAAACCCTAAATTCGGTCAGTCGAAACCACCGAACACCCCAAAACTACTCTCGGCCCTGCAAGACAGACACACAACAATTCCCCTCAGTGTACGAACTACGACAAGCTTGCGGCCAAGGTTCTGCTGATATGCAGTCCGTGCTTCAGTCTCGTTGTCAATAGCAAGCACGTTCGACACTTCTGTCCGGAAAAAGTCGCAAGCTCTGTTCGAGACTCTGGCTTCGTGCTCCCACCCACCAGGAAAGCAACCGCTGAATGCCTCGACTCTACTTCAGACACTTCAGACATGACTTGCGAATGCGATTTGCCCACAGCTTCCTGTGCCTTGCGCCTCCACTTGCGCCCTGCCCTAGCAGCCCTAGCAACAGCCGCCGAGGGGCTGCGATGCACTCCAGCTCCATGAGGGTGGAAAGCAGTCTCATGTACGCTTTGTATCGGCGGGGTGCATGGTGGCGGGTAGACGTCCGCCAGAGCTGGTCCATGGACATTGCAGACATCATCAAGGCGGCGTGCTGCGAATGGCGAAGGCGATTGGGGTGGCCTGGAACTCGAGGACTGAATAACAAAGAAGTCGGCTATGTTGCTTGGACTCCAAACGCAGCGCCGGGCAAAATGCAGTCAATTGGCAGTCTGGAGTCGAGGGCTGCACCAGATCCTGTGCGTCAGGTCGGGGCAGAAGCCTTTCGTTTGGATGCATAAACGCGACCCCTCTTCCCAACAAGAGTTCAGCCACACATCGTTTCCGATGATATGAAGGGATGGAGGATCATGAACAAGCACTGACACAAGTTCCTGCACGGTGCTCGTGATTGCCTCAGTCACCCACTGCACTGCCTCCACAGCAAGCGCCAGAGGTGGACAGCTGTACCCAGTCGTGCCATGGCTGCCGTAGTTGACTTGTGTATCTGCCATCTAACACCAACTGGCACAGGGCACGTCCCTTTGAGCAGCTTCGAGTATACTGTAGTAACTATAGTATCTGCAGCAACATTGGGTGCTCAAGCAGACTCCAGAAGCCTTGTCCAGCTGGGCTTCCAAATAGCTACGCGCCTGCACAAGAGGATTAAAGTCTGAGGCACTTTACGCTTGATCTGCTGGGTCAGGAAGGCCTTTCGGAGCTGTGCCAGGCCTACGAATCACACAAAAGCAGCTGTGTCAAAAACTTACACAAAGAGAGCGGCAGAGGAAACTAGTCTTCTAAGTGAAAATGCAAAATGACAGCTGCCAGGCCTTTGTCTCGAACTCCTTCCCGTTCCTGTGGTACTCATTATCAGCTTGTCTGCCCTAGGGATGCATGCTAAGATGCGAGGCGACAAGTAAAGGCCCGCACCCACACCTGCAAGGCAGTCCGAGCAAGCCTCAGTTCTTGGAGGTTGAAATGCGGGATTTCGGGATTCTTGAATGTTTCAATCATTTGACACATGGACAACATTGGTCTTGCCGGTGACATGGACTGACACAATACCTTCACGGTTACATGGTCGCTGGCAATGTAAACACAAACTTGCCAAACAGGTGGTGCATGCTTTTCGGCATGTGCGCAAGCCCACAGTCTGCCACCATCCAGAATCTCGTCGACGAGAGCACACTGTCGCTGCGGGTGGCTGACGAAGAACACCGAGGCCCCACAGCATACTGCGACGAACCGAGCCCGGGGTCAGCGTGCCCTGCATCTGCTCGAGACAGCGTGGTGGATTGCGTCCTTCGAAAAACCTGAACGACTCCTGCCTGGCCCGTATTGCTGGACCGAGACATTGCGTAGCGATTGTGGAGTTGTCAGCGACATATATTTGATGGGTTGGTGCAGCTTCAGGCCTCAGGGTGGAAGCTTTGACTGGAAAAGGATGCTGGTTTTTCGTTCCGGCAAGTCTGGTGTGGTAGCAAATCTTTCAGCTTCCGCTGCTTGCAGAGAGCCATTTCGGGATCTAAAAATGTAGTCTGGAACTGTTGACGTTTGTCCCAGTTTTGTGGACTGAGTTGGGGTTCGGGTTTCAGGACTGTCTGGGACCTGCTCAGTCGTCACCTTCGCTAGGGACTATAAGGCTTCCGGGTCCAGCACTAATGGGGCGGCGAGTTTGAACAGTCTGGAGAGCAAACTTAGAAGGACCGCTTGGTCGCTCAAGGGCAAGTCCACGAAGTCTCAAACTTGAACCGCAAATCCTACACTATTGCGAACAAGAACCCAGAACCCGAGAACTTTGCCCCCTAAGAAACCATAGCACATCATCCGAACCTCCATTCTCTGAGCCCTGGACGCTTGCAAATCCCAACACGGGCCCTCTGGAGCAGGGTTTGTTGAGGGATGCTGAGTCAGTCGGCCAGCTGGCCACTGATCGCAGAGAATAACCCAAAATGCCAAACTGCAAAGCCAAACAGTGTGGTCCGCATTCAAGACCAAAGCACTGAAACCAACACCTCTCGAAGTCCTCCGCTCAGAATGAGAATCCTTCTTAGGGCCTTAGCAAAAGTGTATCATGCAGCCCAGCGGCTGGTGTCCGATTCTTCCCGGCTCGCAGCCCAAGTCCAACCAAGCTGTGCAGGTTTCGGCCATGATGTCCTGGCGTGTCCCATCAGGAGCAGGAGACGTTGCATGAGACTTGAGGTAGCTGGAGACCATCCTCTGGCACGCCACCGACAGCACAGGAGGCAGCCACCAGTGAGACAGCTTCGCCGCCTGTCAGCAGGCACGAGGAGAGCTCGCAAGAGCTCACAAGATCGCATTTCAGGCTCCAACTGCTTTCTGCGGCTTCAAAGGGAATCAACGCCCACTCGGCGGATTCCAGACCTGTGCGCATCGACGCTGACAGGCAGAGCCAAAGCAAAGGAGCAGCTGCAAGACTGCTCATGACTGCTTACATTGCTTGAGACTATGGCTACCTGAATCAATTCCCATCGGACTGAGAATGCAGCTAAGCTCCTCCATATTGATGGCTTGGGCTAGCAGCGACACAGACCGCGACCTCGCGGTCTCACATTCTGACAAAGCATAATTAATCGCAGTGCTGCTGACCGAGCATAGTACAGAACCCCAACGGGCCGCTGCTCTGGCATGCCTGAGCACAGGAAGGCGCAACATCTTCCCCCTCCAAAACAAACGAGAGCCTCTTTCCGCACCGATGTGCGCTGCCTCGAGCAGCAGAGGTGCCTCAGAACGAGATTCCTTGACGGTTCAAGCTTAGGCTTAGGCCAGGTCCAAGCTTAGGAGAGCACCACTAATGTGCTAAGCGAGGTTTCAGGCTGATCTTCTCGCCATGCACCTTTGCACGGCGTCGCACGGCGTCGCAAGGTTGGCAGGAGTGTCGAAACTCTGGGCCCACAACGCATGGCCGTCTCGGCCTGTCAGATATCCCCAGTGCACAAGCAAATTTTACCCAGTAAAGACATGCCCGAACCTTCTGGGGGAGATCATCGAACATCAGCTGCGTTGAAAGGCGCCTAGACACGCTTCAGTCGTAAAAGCAGCGGCGCCGTGACTCCGAAGCTTGGGGCACGAGCTCTACCAGCTCGTCTGCTGCCACGTCTGCCTTTGTGAGAATGGAACGGTGGACACTCTGCGGACTTACTTATTGCCTTCCGAATCCGTGGCCTTGCGCTTTCTGCCATTTCTGTCCTTTCGGCACAGCACAACTTTCATGGAAAAGGGGATGCTCTCTTTCTGTCTTTCTGCTGTCTCTCTCTCTCTCTCTCTCTCTCTTGTGTTGTCTCCGGGGCAGAGGAAGCGAGTTAGGCTCCCCAGGAAGACAGGCGCACCCCTGTTTGGGGGCTTTGTAGGGTAGAATGAAAGCACTGCAGCACAAAGGAATCTCGCCGGTAAGAAGATATGGTTGCCCGGTCAGAGGAAAGAAAAAAGTATGCCGGTAAAAGATGTGGGTCTCGCTCTCTCACACTCCAATCAAGCGGCCTCTGTTCGCCCGACGAGCCGCAGCAGCTCGTCCGCATTTTGCAATGAGAACCTTTGCTCTTCACCAGAACGTCAGAAAAAGATGGCAAATGAGTCAACGGATCTTAGAACCCCGCTTCTCCATGCTGGCATCCTCGGCTTCTCCTGCTAACATGCAAGTTCTTAGCTGACGCCTGAAGTAAGAACTGCCTGCCTTCCAACGTGTGGTCAGGCCACAAATGGCCTTCCAGACCAAGGACTTTGAGGCTTGAGGCGAACACGATAGCAAGAAGAGCTTTAAGGCCGGCTCTGAGCAAAGGAAGAGAGGACTCCACAAGCTTCGTTGCGGCAGCGCGCCTTAGGCGTACATGGGGAGCGAAAAGGACGGTGGTGCTTCCGCGCTGTCCTCGCCTCCGCTTCGTCGCATCCTCGAGCGAGGCTGCATCCTGCCAGGCCGAGAAAGTTCCGAAAGCCTGGAGGCGGCTGGCGGCTCTTTACCCTCCATGCTGCTTGCATCCCCAAACTGGAGCAAACATGTGACGAAGGATGACTAATGTTGTGTCCACCTTCACTACATCACACGTGAGCTCGGTTGCCATCGTGTCCTGTGCGACGACTTCTTCAGGGAAGGCCTTCTTCTCCGTCCAGCCGACCTGCAATGCAGTGAGCGCACTGAAAATGAAGGTGGCCCAACAGAGCTGGCATCGGTCGGAATATGAAGTATGACTCAGGTGTTACTGCTTTTTTCGCTTCTCGAGAGTCTAGAGCTCAAGGAATCGAGAAATGTCCCGCCCTTGTCAAGCACAGCAGCGCCTGGTGGCAGAGGAGCCAATCCACCGCAGGTGCAAAGGTGTAGCCCGGCCTTGTTCAGACACGCTCGACACCCAGCGATGGTTTAGGGGTCTGGCTGACTTCCAGTGCCGCTGATCCCGCAGCTCTCTGAATGAGCCCAGACAATTGCACCATGGCGGGATATCTTAAGAAAGAGAAGCCCCTTCGACTTACTGCATCAAGCCGCGTGACGTTTATACAGCAAACCTGGTGCGCTTGCTGCACATGTTTTTTGTTATCGGACATATGCAGTCCGCTTTGGAATTAGTAGCTCTCACGTGCATCTTGCTCAGGGTTTAGCAGCAGAGTATCCACTGCTACGTGCCTCAGAATCATGGGTTCAAGGCCGGCTTTGGAATCTCGGGGGTAGGAGTAAGTGCTTCGAGTGAGAAGCGCAAGGGGCGTAAAGATTTCAACTTGCTCGGCCGGCAGCGGCAGCGTTTTGGACGAAGGGATGTGAAGCTGCTTCCCGGGCACTTCGGGGTGCAAGGGAACGTGCCAGGAACGCTTCTTCTTGAGAGTAAGCCCGAAATCCTGCTTGCAGTTTGAACGAGACGGCGTGTCTTCGGCACAACGCACAGCTGCACAGGAGAGCATTGAGCAGCTGGCAAACCTAGTCCGACCAAGTGCTGGCCGCATCTGGCGAAAGAACCCGGCCTGCACTCGATCGCAAGCGACCATCGGTCAAGGCAGGATCTGGCAGTAAGTGCTCTGCGGAACCAGAACGTCCTCCTCGTTTGTCTCTGGATCCACGAGGTTTTCCTGTCAGGGCACTGTCGGTCATTTGCAGGCAATGGCAGGTCGATGGCCTCTCCAGCAATGATGCGAAAGAGGTGGTCACTGGCCACCTGGCAGGCCAAAGCTAATCAGAAGTTCAGGAATCCCAGCCGCCGCTCACAGAATGTCTTGAGGTAGCGGATTCGGAATCTATGTTGACATCACTCGACACTCATGAGAGATGCTCAGGGGCGACTGCCTCGTAGCATGCCTCCAGGCGGAAATTCTTCCGCACCTGTTGCATAGGTATGTGTCTCATTGTGCATCATTACCTTTGAAAACTTGTACGATGGTCTTGAGCTCTGCAAAGCGGACCCACTTGGCAAGGACGTACTCCAAAGCAGTCAAGGGCCTGGGCGTAGCATTACTGGCAGGACAGCCCAAGCATAGATTCAATTCTTTGCTGTGACTGAGTAACTGGCATGTTCTCGGTGAAAAAGCCTAGGACCTTGACGATCAGACCGGCAAGAGCCTGCAGCCATGGACAAAACTGGTATTCTGCATGCTTGCTGGCCCGTGCATTGCAGTGCACTCGAAAGAGTGCCTCCTTCGGCTTCTTTGGCTTCGGAGGATCCTGGCATTCAATGAGCCTCACTGTCTTTGGATACCCGACCAGGGACCCGTGGCCTTCTTCTTTATTTTTGGGAAGTACCGGTCATCTCCTGCAGTTTCGTGTCCAGCAGTATAGGAAAGTATTGCGGCATCAGGCTGCCTCTTTTCCATTTGTAAACTTTCTTTACGAGTCTTTCTGGCTTGAGAAGGCGAGCCAGTGCCTGCCGTGATGCGCATTCCATCAACACAACGCAACGTAGGGAGGCTTGGAATCGAAACTAAAGCACAATAGATAACTCACCTCATGCAGTGCCCGGAAGCAGTTGTGTGCGTGTGTGTGTGTGTGTGTCTCCCATGCGGCTTATCTCTGGGCCTTGTCAGCAGGCTTTTTGAGATAGCCTGTTCTGAAGGTCAGCGAGGCCAATGCCTCGAGTCGGAGCCGCCAGCAGTCCCAAGCCACAAGGAAGGCAATTCTTGTGGTGCCGAGATGTACCGAGTTCAGCAGACGAGCCCGATCTCTGCATTCTCCAGCCAGCCTGCGATGCCCTCTCTGGGCCCATGCGCAGCATGGCCTCGCAGGGTTCGAGCCGGACCAACTAATTAAATCATGTTCTGTCCGAGGCTGTTCTCCCCATGTCGGGTTCCCAGGAGGCAGTTCGGAAATCCTTCCCGGACTGGCCCAACCCAGACTTCGCCAAGGCAAAACGGCCACGAGAACTTTGCGAGATAATCCCGAGAAGCAGGCTGGCCTGATTGATCGGGGCCTGTATCATGTCAAACCTGGAAACACGGCGTCTTGTGAACCGGCAACACCGACTCAATCACACTCTGACTCTGTGGCAGCTAAGCAAGCGGCATCTCACCACTGAAGCCATGAATGTCACTCATGCCCTCTGCCTTGATGAGCGAGTTTTCACGCACCCAACTTTCATTGAACTTCACTGCTCTGGCGTATCTTTGGCCCTCTCCGAGGCAAAGGCCAAAGAAAGCATCTCCACCGGATCGCCGCCTAGGGCAAGGTCTCACGAATTTCGACAGTCCACCACTGCACTCGAGCCCAGCATGTCGATCACGTGAGCACCGCACGAGTCAAGGCACCTTTGCGAATGCGGTCCTGCTGGGACTCACCGAAGATGCTAAAACGCGAAAGCTTGAGCGATCTCTCTCCTCGATCAGCTCCACTTCTGGCGACGTCTCGAGAACTGAGCCCCAGATTGCCAGGCTCATCCAGACCTCCAGGGAAAGCCGCAGGTGGGCGCAACAGAAACAAATCAGGACGAAGGTGTCATTGCGAGCAACTGCAGAGCTCATGGCGCATGTCTGAGGCTCGTCTCGTCTCCAAGGCCCACACCGCCCTCTCTTGCGGGGGCAGCGAGATGTCCAGGCCTGGGACAGGCGACGAAGTCCCAGTCCTTCTTTGGAGAGAGCGCTGTGTCCCTGGCTGGCGACATGCCGCACCACCACTTTGGCCTCACTCACTTATGCTCGGGAGGGGAGGGCCCGGGAACACTGTGGCAAACCGTCCTTGTGCGACTGTACGATGGCCAGCTCGCCACTGCGAGCTTTGCTGACCCACTTGTCCGTGACCTTCATCTACGTCTTGCTCACACTTGCCCTGATGCTTGCAGATTTGTGAACCTCAAGGAGGTGGCGTGGCTGCATCTCGCTGAAGCGCGCCTAAGGACAGGTTTGAATACGCGTTCAAGGATGTCGTGAATCACGTGCAGATGCGCAGTGCCACCTTGAAGACTTTGTCTTTTGCAGCTTCGTACAGGAAGCTCAGCTGCACCTGTGCCGTCGCTCTGCCTCTGCGGAGGGGGGCAAAGGGTCAGGACAGGATCGCTCCTCGCCAAAGGAATCCAGGAAGCTGATCAGCCGGGGCATCGGCTCCACGCTCTGCCTCCCGTGGGGACCCGATGTGTCCCGTCCCGGAGGCCCTGGCGGCCGTTGCCGGCCCTTGCCCTCTCTGAGCCTGAGGAGCGCAGGAAAGGACCTCTCGATGGTCGTGCGGAAAAAGGGCAGATACTTCTTCACCAAATCCACCTGCCAGAGACTCAGCTGCCAGCATCAATTTTTGATAGGATTCGAACCTGGTCGTGGAATGCCCGGATCATCCGAACCGTGTCCTCCTCTCGAGACTCCAGAGCAGATGCCACCTCCAAGCAGGCGGAAGCCAATTCGACTTGTCGCTTACAGCAGCCGTGTTGTCTGAGCAAGACGATGCTCCTGCCTCCAGCTGGTAGTTCCGGCAGTGCTTGAGTAAAGCCTGCCAAAGTGTAAAGAGAGACACTGGCTTCAATGACTCAACACCACAGTCAAATCCCGGACCTGATTCCTCGAGACCTGTGGCTGGGCTGCAGGCTCGAAGGCCCTGGCCGCTTTCGCCGAGGTAGTCTTGGGGCTGCAAATCCTTGCACTTGGATCCATCTGGAGCAGGTTATGGGCAGAGCCCTGTGCTTGACGGGAACCTGCGAACGTGATATGGAACGCCTTGCCACTCACATGACTGACACCTGTGCTTACACTATCTTACATTGTCGTCATACAGGAGCTGAGCCCACGTGTCTCTCGTCTCGTCCACGCCTGCCCAGCCTGGTTCGATCCCTCCCCCCGTCCGTCCCCACATCCCGTGCCTGTAGCAGATTTCCGAAAGGTTATAAGGTCGAACTAACAGGGTTCGAAACTGGAAGGCTTTAGTCTTCAGACAGGCTTGCGGATATGAATAACGCTTCTTCCGAATTCTTGGAAGAATCTTGCAAGACTTCTATCGCCTGGAAGGGGTTCGCAACTAAATCTACCGTGTTGGACAATTTTGAGGGCCTCACGTCACCAGATGTATGTCGCAACTCGCTGTATCGAAGCAACGCCCTGCAAGAGCGGGATCTCACAAGCCAAAACCTGGAAGACCTCCTTGTACCCACGTCAAACTTCTTTGTATCCTGCCTGATTGTCAAGGTCGGATCCATCTTCGGTCTTCGAGTTCTGTCCTTTGACAGGCGAAGGACTGAAATTCAGATGGGTGGATGCCCTGCATGCCCTGGAGTTAGGCCACGACGAGCCCTCTCTCCGGATTCGACAAGAATGAACCTGAGCATCGGCCAAGGACAGATTCAGTCACCATGCTGGGCCCATGTCTTGCCAGAGAGCCGGATGCCGACGCCAGGGCTTTGCACAGCGTCCTGATTCGCAGGAGATTCCGCTCAGAGAGACATGGTTGCGGACAAGTCGGAAACAAGTCGAGACCAATTCGGAAAACGACCGGAATTGAAATTCAGGAAAACTGCTTCTAAAATTTGAAAACGCAGGAGACAGATCAGATTGGGCAAATGTGGGTTAAGATTCGCAAAGCATCGGGTCGGGCCTCTTGATTCGATTATCCAAAGCCAAATTCCACCACTAACCACAAGCATCCCACGGGTGTATGAATGGTGTGTGCCACCAACTCGTTCCATGAAAAGTTGGCGGAGCAAACACTCGTATATGCCTCCGACTTGTTCGAAGAACCAACCGACAAAGATTCATACCTTATGGCATCTAGCAATCTAGTGTCCATCTCCATATGCCTGATACTTGCTCTTTCCCAGGTGCTGAATCAAGCTTGTGTCCTGAGTGAATCGCTCGTCAAAGCATGTTCCACCCCACGAGAAGCTGGGTGAACGTAGATGTCCTGTGTCGATTCCACAGGGATACTCCGATGGCTCTGAGGCTCTGCCTGGCCTGGGAGGTGGAAGGCAGCAGCGCCTGGCCTCAGATCGCTTCGTCAGCCCGACATTTTCGCGCAGCAACAGTGTCTGAGACATGGGCTATCTGCTTGCATGTACGGCGGCAGCGGTGGTCGCACGAGTTTGCCCATAGCCTTCATGCTAGCCACCCAGGCACCCCTGACTTGACTGCGACGTGCAAGCAAGTTTGCCACAGCACCTGCCGAGTAGTTCGACGTCGTCTTCGGCGATTTAGTTCACGACCTGAACTGAAGTCCACATCAAGACTCAGCACTTTTGCGAGTGACTCTTCTAGTCCTGCCTGCCAAGCCCAGGCAGGCGGATGCGATGCAAAGCTCCACTGTTGCCTGTCAGCCCAACACCCGCTACAGCGGTGATGCAGCCGCTCAGCTGCCCACTGGGAACCCGACGGCGTTTGCAAACACCCCGGCCTCACCTTTTCAGGGTCAGACCCTCCAATCTGCCCGTACACCTAACATCCCACCGACTCAGCCCCTACTGCCCAGCCGAAGCACACCCTACTATTGTCGAGGAAGATGGTGGCCTGGGCCCATGCTATGAAGCGATCGCGAGGCCTGGCAAACGACACGGACCAGCTGCAGGCTGCAGGCTTGAACAGGCTTGAACGTTGATGTCTCGCCGCGAGCCTTAGTAGAAGTCCTGGAGGTGGAGGACGAGGACGAGCCACCTCTTCGTCCGAAGCGCTTCCAAATGCCGATGCAGCAACAGCAGCCACTTCGCCAAGCCTGAGGCCCTCTGCATGATGGCCCATGCAAAAGCAGCCTGGCGCGACAATCTACGTCGAATCTACATCTCAGGATCTTAGACAGTCCGCACACAGCCGCTGCCTCCGGCGACATGTTGCCCGCCGCTCGGGCCTGTAGGGCTTGCGACTCAGAGAGCGAACAAAACACCCAAGCAGAGCCTGCAGACCAAGACTGTCCATGGTTTCACTATCAGCTCAGCTCATCGTCAAACCAATAGGAAAGGGCTTTCGTCTAACGGCTCTGGGTAGCTGAGATAGCTGAGACTCCAAGGCCGCACTGCTCGCCATTGCTGCTTGTTATTGTAGAACGTTAGCGGCTAGCGACGTTCGCAGCTGCAATGCTCCAGGGCTGGGATCAAGTTGTGGTTCTCACAGTCTCTTGCTGTACATCTGCGCATGTACACATGTTGTCCTTCAAGCCTGTGCGGAGATCGTCGATGGGCTGCTATCGTGCCGAAACCATGATGCTGGATGCCAGCTTCGATCACTGTTGCAGGCGACAATTTTGCTCCAGATTGTGCTCGTTGCCTGCTGGCTGGCCTTGCACTATCAAGGATCTCAACCCAGCGTTGGGCAGAAAGGCTTGGGGGCCGGCTAGAGGTGGCACCTGCCTGCTTGAGCCACACCTGCAAAACAACAAGAGAGCCATGAAGAATCGATGGCACAAGTGCAGCCTCCAGCTTCGCCATGTCTCGTTCCAGACCTTGCAAGCCTCGAGACTCAATCCAGGGTCCTAAGATCCCCAACCAAGACTTCTACATTGGCTCGAGCTGTAGGGCTGCAGCTTTCGGCATAGAGGTCACTGGCCTGCAACACGCTCGCAGAGGAACATAGAAGGAACTCGAGGTGGCTGGCCTTCTCACACAAACCTGAGGGCTCAGGAGGTACAATGAGGATCCACAAGACGGTCAAGTTCCTCTGTGGCTCTGACGATGTTGGAGAGCCTCAGGAAGCCGTGACTTGACCTGTGCTCACCCAAAATCAGGTTTGGGCGATCAAGGCCAGGACGGACTTCGTGCCTTTCGCAACCGTTGGTGAAGAAGCCGCATGGCATCACAGTACCGTGGCAGCAGCTGCCATGCAGCAGCTGCATGCTCCGCCAGGGCCAGATAACCGATTGCATCGCGTTCAAGGGCCTGGTGCTGGCAAGGTGAAGCCCGTGTCTAGCGTGATGGTAGCAAATCATTGTTGACTATTGCCAAATTGCTCTCGCGTGAGAGATATTTCTCGCATCCGGTCTATACTGACTTCAGATCTCTCTTCCTCGATCGAATTGCATGGATTGCCTCACATAGAGCGCACGGTGCGTCGTGTGCACGCGCAGGAACGCTTTCACACGACACTACGATGCCCAACCGTTTCAGTACACAACCGAGAGTGGGAACTTGGGTCTGAGCGACATGAGGCCAGTACAACTGTTTGGGATGGTTGGGGCTAGGCCTCTGGTACAGTACCGAGCTTCGGGCTCACAGCATCGAGCATCAAGCGAAGCGATGCGCTGAGCCCACTCAGCTCGTCGTGCAGCAAAGGGTGAATTGGGCAAGGGTATTAGGTTTCCTGCAGTAGGCCGGTGGACATGCAACTTGTCATTCCACCGTATCGTAGTCCACTCTTGTTGTGTGTGTGTGTGTGATGGGATTTCCCCGGCGCCTCCAAGGCCAGACACCGGAGGCCTCTCGCGTGGTGCCGCGCCCAGTGAGTGCTGGCACCATAAGCGACGATGCTCGGCCTCAGCCCCGCAGTCGAAGGCACACCGTTCCGGCTCACTCGAAAAAACATCCGATGTCATGAAAGGCCCCCAGAGCCATGTCCAAGCCTCGCACAGCAAGTGGCAAACGCTGAGTTCGCCACAAAGCAGAATCCACCGAAGCCAGGGCGCTTTCCCAATCTCAGCCATGCGCTCTCAGCAAAGAGATAGACAAATGTGAGCCAACTCAAAGTCCAACCAAGCTCGACGCTGTCAAAGTCCCGATACACGAAGCCTGAGGCACATGGCGGCACGGCTTCTTTGCTACGACAAGCGAAGAAGCTGACTGCCACACTGCCGCCACGCAAGTCGTTTTTGGGCATCGTCCAAATCTATTGTCCGTCGGACTATCTTACATCAAGGCATAGGTCGGGTCGCAAAACGGATCGGAGTTGCCAAGCTGCATCGCTACATTGCATCTTTGTGAAACCAGAAGCACTTCCACGGCAGCTGTTCTACCTCACTTTGAGTTGGGTCAGGGGCAGCTTCTGGGACGCGGGAGCTCATTCGTCGTCCTCCGGAATTGGGTAAACCTCGAGCCAAAAGCCGCTGCCAATGTTGAGAAACGGAGACAATTTTGATCGAAAGCCAAGGCACATAAGGGTTGTGGCGGTAAAGCTTGCCCTGGTTGATAGAATCCCTGGGGTCTGCACTCAACTCCACGAGCTGGCTAAATCCAGCATGCATGCACCATGTGAATTCGCAGCCAAGCCGCCAAATGTGGTCCCACATTCGACTCCAGCAATACCTTCGCAGACTGAGCCATATGATTGCACTAGCACTTCATCACCGGTTCGCTTCGCAGCTGGCCAAAACGTCATGCCATGATGCCCACCAATGATACTTGTCCACACAATGAAGCCATAGAAACGAGGAGAGCCTCCATGTTGCAGGTATTTCAGCAAACAGCAAATTGTGCCTACGAGCTACCAGCTCCGTTTTGGAAACAAACAAGCCAGCGCTTTCAAACCAATCCGAGAAGCTCTTCAAAAAGGTCTCGTAGATACGGGTGGAGTTGAAAGCACGAAAGAACCAGTCCATGGTGTCCTGCCCATGTGGGAAAGGTTGCAGCCAGTGGTTTCGCTGCTTCGCCTCCCCTTCTTCCGCTGTCCTGCCCTTCGCGGCGGTTTGCCGCCCATCTCTCAATCCAAGCTGGTTCATGATCCTGAGACATACATACACACATTTAATCTGATTGTGGGAGTCATTTATGTTGCCGCGCCTTGGGCGATCCGAAGCCACCCCACCTTCCAGGGGACGCAAGCATAGAAACTGTCAACTTCGTCCGGTCGGTCTTTCATCTGCCCTGCGCCTTGGCTTGCTGCGGACCAGAGCAGCTTGGAGAAATCTGGAGCGGGACAAGAGCGGCATGGCCACACCTTGAGAAGCAGTTCGTCGGTTGCACTCAGTGCGATTGGCCCGGAGCAGAGGCCTGAAGGGGCTCGGGCAGTGCGAGCACGAACCCGCCGGATGTTGCAAGCCCTGACGTCGGCCACAGGAATCGCAGACGTCGTGGGAGGAAGAAGCGACGTGGACAGACAGACGGACAGACAGACCGACAGCCGGGCAGGCGCAGGCAGGCTCAGGCGCAGGCAAGCAAACAGAGATAACGCAATTGCATTGTACCCAACCCTTCTATTCCTGTCCGGCAAAGAGCGGTGACCGGTTTTGGACTTGTTGGAAGCAATTTGCGGGGTAGGTAGAAGCAGCTGTGATTTTGATGGTTATCTCGGTGTTTCCTCCACATTCGGGCTGGCCATGCTGTGGATGCGATTTCGGGTTCTTTGAGCTCCGCACCCCCTCGTTCCCGGAATCCTCGCATTTCTCTTCCTCCCGTTCTTTGTTCCGTTGTCCTTCCTAACCTTCCTCTGCGCTCCACCAGCTTTTCCGTTGCCTCCCCCCATCCCTGGGCTTGCCGTCTTGCAGCTTCGCTTTGCCCCGTTGTTCAGCTCCACGGCTTCCCCAGTGCATGACTTATGACCCTCATGACGACCTCTGCGCTGCGGTCGTCCAGGACCCGTTCCGAGGCGGCTCTCGCGTTCGCGGATAAGCTATGGACAGCGTTTGCTGGGCAGTCAAGATGTGGCACCCGTTGTTCCAACAGGAAACACAGCAACTCGCCTTCCAGGGGCTGCAGTCCAAGTGACTACAGTCGTTTTGAGCCGAGATTGCCCATGTCAACAATGTGCTCATCACAAGATGTTGCTCCACCACAAGAGAAAAAACAGAGGGCACCCAGTGACTCAGTGCCTGCGGGCCGACCTCGCTCTTGCCGCATCTTACAGAGCCCTGTCCAATTCACTTCGATCTCTTTGCAGTAAACTGGGCCGAAGTGTGAAGTTTGGAGCTACCTACGACGAAAGAGAGAGACCACCTATCAGAGTCGTTCTACTGGTAGCAAAGCTGCTGGCTTGGAATCAAGAGAATGCTTCTCACGGGCTGCACACACAGCTGTAGGAAGCCGCTCTGTAAACGCCTGCATGGGCTGTCTTCATCGCGTGCGCCAGCTGGGTCTCCTTTCCAAGGTTCGCAAAATGGCAAAGCAACACATTAACACCGCCCGACTGCATCTCCGCACGGCACAGACGTCTTTTGATTTACCGCAGGAAATTCTGAACACGACCTCTCTGTTGCAGCCCAAAACAAACACCGCGTGGGCCGCATAGCCCTCTGATGGTGCTCCTCTTGCCAGGTGTCGCTGCGCCCTTCTGCATGCTTCAGCAGGAGGTTCTCAACTTTGGCAGCGGCCTGAAACATGGGCTAAGGGAAGGCGTTGAGTGACAACTGCATCCGGCCACACAGTTTCAATCCGCAACGTCCCGACCTTCTCCAACCCATCTCAGTACCCGCGCGATGGGAACAGTGATGTTGACCGTTCGCACGAATTCCTGCCTGGTCTTCTTCTTCGCATCGATCACATTCGCATACAAAGCCAAAGCGGCCGGGAAGGAATGCTTTGCGCCTCAAAGCTATGTAGGACAGGGAGGGGATCAGGCATGAAAGCCATGTCGGGCCCTTCATTGCGGACGTTCCTGGGGCCAGACAGCTCCTTGGGCAGTAGGATTAGGTCGTCGGCATAATGAATTCTGGCGAAGTCGGCATGAACAGCTGCGTTCATGACAACCCGCTCTGCAATGGGCAAAGCATCCTACAAAGTATCACAATGGCAGCCGGCAGTGCGTGAGTTCTGTTCCCTGCCGGACAGACCAGTCAGAATACATATACTCGGAAGTTGCGCAACATGCTGCAGGCACGTTCCCGGGTCATGTCTAGACAGCAAATTGAAGTCAACATGCCCGCAAAACGTGTGGTCAAAGCCTTATCCACAGGACGTATAGCCAGAACATGTGAGGTGCCAGCTGACCTTTGCAGACATGCTTTGATCTCAATGATTTTGGAAGGGACAGCCAGACTGTGCACAACAACTGCACCTCCGGATGCAGACGCTTTCAAGGGTCAAGCGGATCCCGATAGACTGAGCAGGTTGGCCTCCGGATTCAATGACAGACTGGGGCGTGATCCTACAAGCCTTGAACGGCTCAGTTACCAGCCAGCAGGAATGGTTGAAGACAGACAGCCTTGGTTACATGCGCAAGCAAAAGAAATCAAAAGTGATAAAGATCACCGGCCAAGCAGAAAATGCAAAGCAGCCCTGCCGGCGTTCTTCGGCGTCAGACTTTCGGAAAAGGAGCCACACCTCCTCTGCTGTCCTGGTGTGTGGCTGACACGACTCCCAGTATTGCGTCAAGCTTCTCTTGTTCTCTGGAATGAGCTGCTTAGCACGAGAATGAGCTGGCAACCGGCAGCAAGGCTCCCCAACAAGCTGAGACAGAGGTGCGAATGCAGAGATGTGCAGAAGCCGTTATTTCGTGCAGCCGCCAGCCTGAGCGACTCTTGTGACCAGAGGGACTTCGGACCCATCCAATCTTAGCTCCGGACGCGTTGGCTGCCTTCTCCTGCAGGTCGCAGGAGTAGAAGGCAGCAGCATGTCAGATTGCATGGCGGCTGGTCACGACAGCGGTAGCAAGGGTGAACCTGTCGGGAACTAGACGCAGGTCCTAATCTGCAAATCGGAGAGGCGGGACGTCGGGCACGGGAACGAAGTCCAGCCGGGACGCAACGCGTGAAGGAAGACCGAATTTGCCGTGTGTCGCAGCCCGGTAGATGGATAACGACGATAATCAAAAACACTACAGTCTTATTTATCAGCACTTCAACGAAATGCCGCAAGTCAGTCTAAAGGAAATATGATTTTTGCGTCATTCCGTGACTCCACGGCAGCTGAATAGGTATGGAAGACTTGAAGTCATTCGATCTCGGGCTCTCCGTATGAAATCCAGGATGCAACAGCGATGCAGCAGATTCGCAGCCTTTGTCAAACTGGGTATGCCCGACAGCCAGCGGAAAGCCTTGTTGCCAAACTTCAAGGGCTGACGAGATTGTCGGATGACTCGTAATAAAGCTCCTCCTGCCTCCGCCTCGCTGATGCTATCGCTTTCTGCTGCAGGCACTCTCAACTCGTTGCCTCCACTTGCAATTGCACGCTTGCCAACTCACGGGTCTACCACCGAAGGACACTCCCGCCCCAGCCTTCCTCCTCAGCTGCCAGCGCATGAACGGCCGCAACAGCACCGAAGTCATCATCGTCTGGGTTGAAAACATGGGGCTCCTTGGTGTATCCGTAGTGGGGACTCGGTCCACTTCCGTGATTCCCCCACCAACCTCGGAAAGCAGTAGCTCGCCCGCCGAAATGCTCCTCGCGTGATTGCGCATTATCGTGCAGCACATGTAGCGAGTACAGACATGCAGCAGGTCCTGTTTGCGAAATACCCTCTGCCCTTCTCTCCGCCTGCGACCAAAATGCATCTGATCGCCGATCCTCCCGAACAGTGCTTCTCCACATGCAACTGGCCTTCGTCTCGAATCGACATCTTCTGGCTGACAAAGGTGGCGGACCTTCAAGCTCAACTAATGCCCGGTGATTGTGCTTGCGCTGTGTGTCGCAGATTCTTGTTCCGAAAGCCCAAGGAGATTCATGTCACAAGCCAGGTTGCGGACTGCGACGGCCGTTGCACATCTTCCGTGCAAATTGACATCCTGGAGTGCACCTGATGGGCCGAGACGACCACTGTGAGGTTTCGGGTACTTCGTCGTACTTCGTGCTTCTCCACTGCTCTGTGCAGGCCCAGAGCCCGAGCCCCTCTCATGCGGATCAAGGGACCAGCACCGCAAGCCTGCCGGGCGGTGACACTTCTCTCGAGACAACGAGGACACCGACGACAGACCACCTAGAAGACGAGCAAGCTCACAAACAAAACTCCACCTGCCTTCGACTTCAATTCCCCCTACATGCTCAAATGTTCCCGGATTCCGGAACTGCCAGCCCTGTGCTGTTCCCGATGCCTTGTTGCGCTCAGCTCGTTTCCCGGTTCCTGCAAGGATCCAAACAGGGACAAGTTCAAACAAATCGCTTGCAAGGCCCTGAGGCCAGTAGTGATCTATACCGATATTGCAAGCTCCCTTAACCCGTGCACACCTGAAAGCTTGCCAAGACCGATTGAACGAAGTTGTCCAACCTGCGCAGCTGAATCTTGCGGGTCCATCCCTAAAACAGGTGCGCTAGTTGTTGTTTCTGAACTTTGTCCGTCATGACAAACATTGCAGTCGCTGGTTTTCCAAAAGCCGTGGGGCAAGTCTGCACGCGGCTTTGCTGCTGTTGACTGCTTGGAACAGCAGATGCGTGAAGGTTGTAGCTCGCTGGCGGCTCGCGAAAAACTGTAAAGAAATGGCTCCAGTTTCTAATCGAAACATGCGCTCCATCCACCTTCCATGGTCAGAATCCAGCAGATGGGCAGTAGCTGGCGCTTTCCGCAGCTTCAGTCGGAATCTCTCTTCAGTTTGTCTAGTGAGTTTAGTGCGGTGCGTAGAGGGACCATGCCAGTCCGGCGAGGCCGCTGACGACCACCACCAGAGGCACGTTCACCTCGCACCGCATACGGCATTGTAGGGCCAGCTACATCCGAATGCAACTTATGATGCGACAGAGCAGTGCAGTGCTGTGCACCTTCACCAACTCGATGAAGTAGTAAGCGAGGACCACCAGAGCCCGGCTTCCAGATTGCCACGGGCTCCGCGCCTCGGAGTCTGCAACAGAGCAAAAAAAATCTCACATCCTTTTATCCCCGCCAGGTCTCCTGTAAAGTGTCGTAGACCACAAACATGGTCGGCACCAGCAGCCCAACAGCCGCAGCGTTTAGGCCTTGCAGAGCAACCAATGCTGCCACTGACAACTCTGAACTAAAACAAGCCCTGCGGTCTGTCAAACCCTGATAGACGCACAGGATCAGATAAGATCAGATCACGTCCGACAATCTGTTCTAACATCCTACCTGGTAGCGCATGTTGGTACAGCCGCTGCTTGCGGAGTTCCTCAGCTTATTTGTGGTGTACTTGGCTAACGCTGTCACATCGAGGCCGAGCCACATCCCAAAGCGTGTAGGCCCCGAAAATCAAGGTTATTCCTGGGCCCATAAGGCCTGGCCGTTCGAGACTCGTCACGTCCTTTCAGACCTCTCTTCCTCTCCTCTCTTATCTCTTCGATTTCTGCCCAGATGCCTGCCCAGCACAGAAAGATACCCCAAAGCCAGTAGACTCCGCTGTTCAACGCTAGCTGAATGCCCAGGAAGCCTGACAACGCGTTTGATGCAGTGTTGTTTGCCTGCGGGATTGTGTGCGATCTTGCAAGCTCCATGCTGCCAGACTGTGCCAGAATATTAGTGTGCCGGCAAGAGGCACGAGATGTTGAAGACAGGACCAGGCATCATTTCTGCAAAGGAAATACCAGCCAAAAAGATCGTAGGAGAGATCCAGCTGGGAGTCAGGAACGTCATCAACATGGGGAGCACCACCGGCCCTCCACCCCACACGAACATGCCTTGGAGATCGAGCCGCAACAAAGTCTTCCACACGAAGACAAGAAATTGCTGTGCCTGCGGTCAAAAAAGGCATGACCCAGCCGTGATCGAAGGTGTCCCTCCACAAGGTGAATGCTGCAACTGCCACGTACCTTATGCTGTCATGATATGTCATGTAAAATCAGCACGGGCATCGCTGGAGCATCCAGAACTGAGCCCATCCCGTCCAACTCGCTTCCACCAGGTGGCAAAAGGAAGATGCCGACAGCCAGGGCTACAGGCATTCCTGACATAGCAGAAACCCAGAGCAACCCTGAGCATTGCCGCACAAAGACTGCCACTGGTCCGGCCTGACTTTCCAGTGTCGTCCGCGTGCTTCACTTCTGCATCTTTAGATGCCTCATCCACAAGACGATTCCGAGCCCGTCCACAGCGTTAATGTGTTGCACACCGGTCCCTGTGATTAGCCGAGGGACTGGGTAGATAATGGTCGTGAGGCCGCCCACGAAAATCAAGGTTGGGTTCAGCCAAGCCGGGGCCGGGTGCACAAGCAGGCAGATGGCCCCGGTGAAGAAGCAGATCTGAGTTGCAAGGTTGCGTGTCAAAGAATTTTCGTGGCGATTTGAGACCCACATTGCCACCTAGAGTCACCACCCAAGACAATCTGGTTGCCAGCTTCGAAAACCTGCTTCTTGATAAGTCCAGTGATCGCCACAAAGACCAGCCTCAGAGACAGCTTTGTAGTCTTTCCGGCCATGAAGCCGAAGGTTGCAGAACGGCTACATCCTGTCATATACTGCCCTCAGCCCAAGTGCAGACCGAAGACGCAACTCCAACAGCGCTGCAAGCAATCGCCTGAAAAAGGCATATGCCGTGTCCAACGCACCAGACAGTGTTTGGCAAACCACTTGCAGGAATGGCACCACCGCGTTTGCAGGTGAGGCAGGTTCTTCAATCTGCTCGGACAATGTCTGGGACACCTCGGCGTAGATGTGTTCGGAAAATGAGGTAGTTGCGACTGTAAGACACACTTGCTCCCGCATCTCTCGGCCGGCCACGAAGCCGAGCAGTGAGAGGAAAATCCTTTGCAAAGGCTCAGACGTTAGGAACATTTCGCCAGCAACCATCTGACGTCGCCAACACATCATGCAATACTTATTGACAACTTGTACCACCACGATGCTTCAATTCCCTAAAGCCAGACGCATTTCTGAGCAGGCTTTCACCATGACTCATGACTGAAGTTACTTGGACCTGTTCGCAATGCATGTCACAGCCACTCCTCAAAGCCCTGCGGTGATCTGCAGTCAAGTCGCGCACCAGGTATGACAAAGCAGAAGCCGGCTATCAAGCCACCAAGGACCCCTCCTGACGGCAAGATCGAAAGCCTCTTCAGAAGGACTAGCTGGAAAAGAGCGAGAACATGAGATGCACCTTGAGTGATGCCGATGGCATAGGCCACCTGGCGGCAGCCGTTCGATTTACTTGCACCATCTTGCACCCACTGCTTGACGCTGGACTGGGCATGGCCATATGCTCTGATATTATGTCTAGAGGCTCTAGACAAGGCATGGGAGCATAGGTATGGAAGCATACTCTTTGATTAAAGCCTTAAAAGCCTTCCCATTCCATGCATCACAGCACCCTGTCGCCTGCGTGCTTGAGGGTCCTGGGAGGCAGTTGGCCATCGCGAACAATTCCGCGAAGCGTTCGCTTGATAACCAGCCGTACCTGAATCATCAGTCAATTGAGGAAAAAAACTGTGATCCGTGACAAAACCTCAGCATCAAAGGTATGTGCGAGTGTGTGCCAGACTCAATACACCCCGATTGGAACTGACAAAATATTCACCCTTGCCGGAGATCCGCTTGGAGTTTTGAACCTCAAAAACTCCAAGCGCTTTTTCAGCTGAAGGGCTTCTCCACGAAGCGGGCTCGGAACATGCTAATGTGGACCGGCGGACCTCCGAAGGCCGTTGTGCCCATGACCTTCAAGGCCAGAAAGCGGAAATCATTGGGAGCGGAAGCTACGAACTGGCCAGGTGAGTGTTTCAATTCGTCCATCGCGTTTGGGTGTTCCTGACCAGAACTGCCGCCAATTTGCAAAGAAGTTCCATGCCAGCGTGCCAAGAGACGGTGTCGAATTTGGCAGCAAACCTTCCTCGGGCGGAATTCAACAACATTCGCCGGTGGAATGGCAGGCCCGCTCTTGTTTCTAGTCGGGCCACCTCCCCTAAAGCTTGCTTTATCACAAACCACCTCAACCAGAATGAACTGCACGAACCGAGGCTCAACATTCGACTGTACCAATCCAAACCGAAAATCAGAGTGCCTGGAGCCTAACAGCCATACACAGAACAACACTGATGAGACTCCTCATGGAAGAATCATACGAAATCCTCGGCACCGTTCTGTCAACACAGGCAATATCAAGATACATACATCCGTCAGTTCCTATCGAGTGACAACATGCAAACGCGCATTGACCCATTTCGCAATCGCACTCATTTGTTGCGACCGCAACGTGGGACGTGGTCGAGCACATTGAGTTATTTAGGGATGCACATCATTGAGGGATCCGTATCCTGGAAGAAACGACGGTCGAACACCCGCAAGACGAAGGCGAAAGAACATTTACTAACGAAGCTGCAGACGAGCAAGAAAATCGTCCCGCTGCAGATATTTCTCATCCACCGAGCGAGAGTCTACGTAGAACACATGACTCCAGCTCCAAGCCAAGTGGAACCGTTACCTTTCCCAAAGACGAGCATGGTCACGGGCGTCGCGAAAGTAAAGATGCTTGTGCGGAACACCGGCAGTTGTCAGCTGACCACTTGTCTTTCAATCAGGCAGGCAGAGAGGCCTCCACTGATCAGGCGGCCGCAAGCTTGACGTCTGCCCACGCGCAAGCAGTCAGGCGATTTGTGCTCGCTAGGTGTTTTCGGGCAATGCTTTCCCTGTTCAGATGATCTGCGCCGGTACCAGTTGTTACACTACTCGCGCTGGTGCGTGAGTTCCGTGTTCCAACAATTATTCGGGCTCAATCGACCTCGTGAGTTGCGCGTTCTGCGGGTTGTGCGATCTGAGCAATACACAGGCTGAGGTGCTCTCTACTTTCTGACGTTCTGGGCTCAGGGCGGCCTGGGGGTTTATTTGAGGGTGATCTCGCACCTTCGACTGAGGTTTTTCGGTCGCTTCGACTGTCGCTTCGAGATCGAACAAAGACGTAAGACTGTCGTTTTCATAATATCCGGGTCCTGGGTCGTGCTACTCCCGCTTGCTCGATCCTGCTCCACTTGATCATAGGGGTCGATACCAAGGTCTTTGCACGAGCCATTATCCAGAACGTCCCGCCCTCTGAATATTGCGTTGCTGTCCCCCCTTCTTCACCTGTGCCTGCTACCAGTGTCGGGCCGCGATGGGTTCGGTGGGTCCTGGCGACTGGGCAACGTAGTGTCCGTGTTCACACTGCGCCTTGCTGCCGACCACTTCGTTTGCTGTGGTGTGATGTATGATCGCACGAATTTTTCCGGCGACTGATGGGAGCGACTTTCAGTGGTGTTTCTGCGATCGCGGCCCTAAATGGCGGAGGAGCGGACCGCAGCGTCGACGACCGCCGGTGGACCATCTTGGAGACCGCCGGAGGGCAGGAAGCTGCCTGGACCACAGCCTCTTCCAGATGAGATGGATGTGCGAGGGCTTGCTGGTTGGCATGCGTGGCTGGAGCCACAATCAGTTTCCATCGCGCTAACCAGGCAAACGTCCTAGTTCTCGAGGATCCGTCACAAAGGCCCGAGCAGAGCCGCCAGCGAACTGTTGTACCTGATCAGGTCCTTCGACGCGATCGCGCCTTTGATCAGCGCCGGACCACAAATCTTGGATACCGTGTTCAGAGGACAGACATCCTGCTCGTGTTGAAATTCATGCATGGTAGCGGTGAGCTGCCACACCTTCGTGTCCTGTCGGGCCAAGATCCTATTGCGACTTTACTGACCTGAGCCTGGCCCGGAGTATATTGTCCCCGCTGCCTTCAGTGCCATATTCATTTATCCTCTGACTTAAGACGAATGAAGTTCTCCAGACAGAGCGAGCACACGCACTGCAATATGTCATGTCCTACATCAGCAAACTTCGAAGAAGCTAGAGTTGTGACAAGGCTCCTTCATGCTGAAGCCTGTAAGCCCGTCAACGCTCACCCGAGTGGCCTGTGCCCTCTTCGTAAGCCATCGGCGACACGAGGTGAGCAAACAAGCAAGTCAAGCGCTGACAACCCTTGACAAGAAGACAGCCAGAAGAGGAGTGAATTCTCGTCGCCTTCTCCATCCTTTGCCATCTGCATCGCGGAGTCTCCGCACCATGCCATCAACCTCAGACTTCCGAACAAATCGTGAAGTTTCTGCTTCCGACAGATTGCATTAGCTGGGTCTGTCGGTCGTGGCTGCTTGCACACTGGACCAGACAGGCTTTACAGCTAGCGCATTTGCATGTGTCAGGTTATGGCACCTTGTGCGGAATCCTGCAAGCGATTTGTGGATTGAGCTCAGCGGGCCATCTGGGGTGACAAAACTCGGTGTGAGTACGTGCGTGTTTGAAGCCATTGCTGGGACTCCACATAGAGGATGCCAGACAATGCTCTATTCTGTGTTTGCGAACGGCTGTGGACACGGATAAGTGGAGAATGCCAAACTGAGCGCGAAAAGTCGAAAAGCAAAAAGTCGAAAAGTGGCAACAAAATAAAGATTTGCAGCGAAAAACCGAAAAGTCGAAAAGCCGCGAAAAGTACAGCAAAACGCGAAAAGTCGAAAAGTACAGCAAAACGCGAAAAGTCGAAAAGTCAACAAGTCAAGAAAGTCGAACAGTCACCGCAGCAGAAGCCGAAAAAACAACAAGCGGCACACATCTGAAGCATCTTGGC